CCACCTTGCAACATTTTATGCTCTACCTTCAGCTTCCATAATGCATGGAAACAATCTACCAATGTCAAACATGCAAGGCCTTCTGAAGAAAATTCCTATATTTTTGTTCAGGCTTTTAGGATGATGATTTCTCTGTGAGGTTCTCTGTTTCTTTGGCTCACAGTTCCAGCTGATTCTTATCACTTGCGAATGTGCCAAAATCACTAATAATTTTCTGAATTACGATAGCTATCACAAGTGCTTCACAACATGCCTGGGCAAAGCCATCCTGATGTTGCAGAAAGCATTGTTATTATTAAATAATTTATTTAATTTATCAGATCTAAATCTATAGAAGAAATATGTTTTGGGGCCATCTACCCTACCTCACCAATTTAAGAGTATATTTTCTCTTAAGGAAATGAGTGAGTTAACATTTTAAACTTCTCTCCTCCCTCATCCTCAGCCAACACTAATATATTCCAGAAGGACCATCATTATTCATAGGCAGCACCCTTTCTTTCTGTACAAAACCCTACAAAGCTATCAGCATGAAATTAGCTTGATTGATCTTCAATGAGTTAAGCAGGGTCCCATATGAGAAATCATATGCTCATATGGGAAATCCCAGGGCAGTAGGGCTGTTGGGGGGGGCGGGGGACAGACTTTTAAAACTCTGTTTTTCTTAAGATATTACCCATAATCTCTCCTGCCCCCTTTACCATGGTGTGTCATGGAAGACAAAATAGCAGATATAAGCTACCTTAGTCCCACCCCACTGCATGTTGATAGTCCTGTGGCTTTTGGTTCGACTGTTATATTTATTTCATGCTTATATTCATATTATATTCATCATATTCTCTTTCTATACCATCACGTCAAACAATTTTCCCATGGTACGTACAGGACTGAAGATTCCAGAGTTCTAACTGGCAAGACCGGTGGAAAAATAATGATGAATTCCAGAAAGATAAAGCTGGCATAAATGTATGTATACATAAATGTAAATATACATAAATGTATAATTATGGTTATGGTTCATGTTCCTCATACTCCTTCTTTTCATTACTGGCTTTCACACCCACCTTTTCCCCCTCTTATTCTTTTCTTTCCATTCTCCATGCTATTCCCTTCTCTAATTCCTGCTTACTTTCCTTTTTTTAAACAATGTCTCTAGTTAAGTAATAAGCAAATATAAATATGCCGACACATTTGTGGAAATGCAAACATTCATTCATATTCACAACAGATTTACTTACCTCATTAGGGTGCTTTGGGACAGGAACGTAGTACACATTTTGTACTCATTTAATGATTACATAACACTCTTTGGCTCAAATCTAGCCAACCCTGGCCAGATTATTCTCATACTTGAGGTAACTGATTGAACACTTAATTTGAAACACCATTAGAAATTACTCTATTTATCCCAAATTTTTTATTCTGCTTAGTTCTTCCTTCAGAGATCATAAATATATAGTTGTCAGCCCTACAAAGCAGGCTAGTTAAGAAACAGATATGATAGGCATTCCAGGAGTGCTCTTTATTATAGCGAGGTAGAATAACCGAGTATTGAAAGCCTGTCAGAACTCTGTAATCTTTTCTGCCAGTTATCTCATACCTTCCCCAAGATCAGTTCTAAATTCCTTTACAAAATAGCTGCCAGCTGGTCCTGTTGTCCAGTGATCTTTTGAAATTCAAAGTTCACAAACAGGCCAAGGAGCCACCTCAAGAGAAGCTGTGAACATGAAGTCTCCACGGATAGAGCACATGCTTTGTATGAAGAATGTCACATGTTCAGTTTCCAGGTAGGGCTGAAGAGATTCCTGTCTGACTCCATGGAGACTTGCTGTGATCTGACTCAGTTTAGGGCAGCTTCCTATGATTCAGATGTTTGGATTATCAAATTTACTACTTATATATATGAAATAACAGTTATACAGCAAGTAACAGGATTGCTTCATCACAAACAAAATTTCCAAGCAGGTCTTTGAAAAAGTAGCAATAAATGCAATGGGCAACAGATGGGGTTAAGCATAACCAACCCTGTATTAGATATTGACCAGGATGGGAACACATTTGCCCTGGAAATTTGATTGCTTATTAAACAATCCTACTACCATGAAAAACTAATCCATATCATCTTCTTTGTTCTCCTTTCAGGATAAACAAGTCTACCATAATTGATACCACATTTTAGTTATATTTCCAGGACAGACAGGCCTGTTGTTCTTGAAAACTAGGTCAACAGCATCAGGATGATGGATGCTCCAACAGAACAGATTCCTTCTCCTCCCCCTGCCATCTTGCAGCACTCCCTGTGTGTCCCCAAATCACAGCTGAAGAGCCAGGGGAAATCATGGAGGTGTATGAGGGGGAGACCCAAAAAACCCCGGAATTTATTTATAAAAAATCATGTATTTATTTTTACATGTTCAAACTTCAGTCACCTTCAAACTACTCTCCATTTGATGCAATACACCTATCGAGACATTTTTTCCACTGCTCAAAACAGGTTTTGAACTTGTAGATTTTGATGCCTTTTAGTGCTTCTGCCGTTTTTTGTTTCACCTCCTCCACATCGGCAAAATGTTTCCCTTTGAGGACTTTTTTCATCCAGGGAAAAAAGAAAAAGTTGCATGGGGTGAGATCAGGTGAATAGGGAGGGTGGGGCACAAGGGTCATGCCATTTTTGGTCAAAAACTGCTGAACACTCAGTGTGGTGTGTGCAGGTACATTGTCATGGTGGAAGAACCAGTCACCTGTTTGCCACAACTTGGGATGTTTCTTCCACAAATTGTGATGCAACCTTCTCAAAACTTCCAGTTAAAAACTCTGGTTGACCATTTCACCCAGAGGAACAAATTCCAAGTGTGCAATCCCTCTCACATCAAAGAAACAGGATCCTTGTTTTCACGTTCAACTTCACTTGTGCGTTTTTGGGTTGTGGGGATGTGGCAGTTTTCCATTGGCTGGGTTGGTGTTTTGTTTTGGGGTCGTTGGGATAGCACCAAGATTCATCTCTGGTTATGTCTTTCGAAAAAAAATCAGGGTCAGCCTCCAACTGCTCCTTCAAAGCATGGCACACAGTCAAGCGATTGTCTCTTCATTCAGGCATGAGCAGGCGAGGCACGAATCGCCCATCACCAAATAGGCAAACGCGTTGAAAGAGTCTCTAAAAAAAAAACTCACTGAAGCCGAACACAGCCTCTCACAACAACCCAGCTGGTGGCCTGATGCAGGTGAGTTCCTAGAACACTCACCTAGCGGGGGAAGCCTATACTACAAGGGGCCCACCCTCCAGAAGATAATTCTGGGGCTTTTTTAGGGTCCCCCCTTGTATATGAAAAGAAAGTCCCCTTGCAGAAGAAATCCATTGGTTGTTGGTGCACCTTCAACATCTACTCTAAGAAATAATAATAAAATAAGCAACCGCTCTGATTTTGAGCGGCAGTTTACATGGCTTCCTACACTCCTGGAGTCCTCTGAAGATAAAGGAGGGCACTTACAGTTTGATTGTTGAATAAATCAACAGAGGCAGAGAAGTTCATTTTTCAGAGAAAGCCTCGATTAACAAATCTGTTATTTGCTGACCCTTCATGCTTTTATTGCCATAGTTTTGGGATTTGGCTTGCAACGGGAAAAGTCACAATTTTGGAATATATTAAATATTTAAAATAAAAGTCTTTATGGGCAACACAGTAGAATGTCAAAAGAGCTTATTTTTCTGGCTATTCATATAATATGGAAGAGCAGATGCTAATAATGATTACAATATAGGTTCCCTGAGTAGAAGTGTGGTATCTGCAGAATGCGGGCAAGGGTTAAAAGATGACTTGTGATGCTGCAATGCACCTCTTACACAGTTGCATGGAACATTGCAACATAAGCATGAAAGGGCAGAGCTTGCATCAGGATGTCCCATGTTTTGTCTTTTTGACATTAATATGGTTAGGTCTCGATGTCTTTGAGTGGACACTGAATAGTAAGACAGTGTAGCCAATTCTTCTTCACAGTTACAAAATTAACACCTAGAATCGGCAATGTTTTGTGTTTGCAAGTATGTGTGGGCTTATTCTTGATAGTGAATTGTAAGCACATGCAGCATGGCAATGCTATACGGAGATTATGGGAGTTGTAATCCGAAGCACCTGAAGGACCCTAGATCAGGAAGGCTGTCTGAGAGTCTTGTTAACTCTGAATTTCACCAATAAAACAATAAAATAAAGTATCCACCAGATCCAGTGCAGCATATTATTTTCTTTTTTGTCTCCTTGAGCAGATCCTTCCAAGTGAATAATAAGATCCATGGAAAACTGTCAGGAAGCTGATGAATTAGAATAGAACCATCTTTCAGAATAGTCAAAATGCACACTATTTGGAAAGCAAAACCCACAGCGCTCCAGCATGGCTTTTCTCAAACTCAATAAATAAAAACTAAAACTAAAGCGTGAGGGTCAAAAAACCCTAATAATTAAAATGGGGGGAGAGAGAGCAAGAGAGGGAGAGAGGGAGGGAGAGAGGGAGGGAGGGGAGACAAAAAGGGAAAAAATGCTAGCCAGTGACGTGAAACACAAAATTAAATAGGAAGGGAGGCAAGAGGGGGGCAGGCATATATATGCTGGGCACAAGTTAAAGGTGGTTCTTCTTCTCCAGCTTCCTTCAGGCTGCATCTTGTCGAGCATGTGAGTTGCCAGGGAAAAAAGGGCTGAGATCTCCAGCAAGATCAATTACTTTCTCAAAGCTGATATTCTGAAGTCCATCAGAAACCTTTGTCTCTCACTGTAGAGGGAAAAGTCTAGAGGAATGTAGGCCAATACTGATATATTTCAAAGAAACTAGCAATATTTAGGAACAGACAAACAAAGCTGGGGCAAAGGGAGAGAATGAAGCAGGATTAAAGGGGTGTGTGTGTGTGTGTGTGTGTGTGTGTGTGTTTGTGTGTTTTGAGAGTGGAGAAAAATATTTGCTCATGTTTTAACCGTACTTATTCAAGTTGCAACCAAACAGAATAGCACTGTATTACAGAAAGCTACAACTTGGAACTGCAGCAGCTTGAACTCTCTTGCAGAAAAAGTGTTTATAGACCCATTATCATTAGATCTTTTAAAATTTAAAACTTTATTTTTCCGATTTCATCCCAACAGTAAGTATTGAGAGTTGAGTTTTAAAATGCTTTCAGTTGCAGAAAAATCTTTTTCTTGCTTTTGTTTTTATTTGGACTATTTTATGTGCACTGTAAACAGGTTTTTAATGATTGCCTTTGTTTGACAGCTGAAAGCAGCCTATACATATATCTATACAGTGTTTAGAAGACAAATTGGCTTGTTTGAACAGATTTACCGCACACTACCAGAAAAGGCAGAAATGGCACCTGTGAGAAAGAAGTTTATTGAGATTCTGGAAAAAGTCATGAAAGAAGGTGAGCAGATGACACCGGAGGAGATGCTGTTTACTTATGATGGAGTCGTATACCCAACTGTGTTTTGCAACCCGGAGCAGTTCAAAGCTTTGGAGGACTTCCAAGCCAGGAGTGATGACGTGGTCCTAGCAGGATACTGCAAATCTGGTGAGCCTTCTTGCTCTGATACATATTTTTAAAAGTGCCTGCCATGTTAGATTTGACTTGAAACAGTGTTGAGAAAAATTGTAGGGTTACATTTACTGATGACTGGAAACCCCTTACAGACATTTTGCTTAAAAGTGAAGAAAAAAGTGAACTTGTGATTATGGTTTTGATGATTAGACAGGATAGGTTACAGAAAGAAGAGACTTTCTAAAGTAACTTTAGAGAGGAGGTTAAAATATAACTACTATGAAGAATATCAGAAGCTACTTCTATATATTTTTATATCTTTCCTTATATCGATCTCTCTCTTTTTCTATTTACTTCTACTTTCTTTTCTTATTGCACTTTTAGCTTTTTCTGTTATTTCTTTCTTTTTCATTTTCTCTATTCTAATTTAGTTTGTATTAGTTCTTATTATCACTTTTAAAAATTTTAATAAAAATTATACAAATAAAAAAAGAAAAATTGTAGGGTAACAGCCTGAAATAAAATCAAAGGGCAAAGGAAACTTCAGGAGTAATATGGGAAGCATCTTTGCATGTCTGTAATTTCCCTGGTTTCTGCCATTACCTGAGCAATTCTGCGCCTCAGACAGCCAAGGTCCGTTTAATATCTGTTAAATCTCCAAACCTGCATTGTAGACCCAAAATTATAATTACATGTATATAAGTAACCAATGTAAGTCAGTGGTTGTTAAACAGATTGCAGGTTGATCAGTTGAGTATATGCCACACATATTATGATTCAGCAATATATTATTTAGCAACATATTATTGCTGAAATTTTATCTGCAAAAGTTTAATAAGACTAGGAATTCTAAATCTGTAGATTTAATGGCTTTCATAGGATTTTCAGTTTTTTAGAATTCAAAAGAAAAACCCTGTTTGGAAGGGCACGTTTTCATATATTTTATATTCTGTATTGGGATTTTGTGTGTGTCGTGCTGATTGAGAGTATTACACGCAAAGCTTAGTCCTCTAGGCTGGACATTTTCCAGATAAGGAAAGAACGCACAGAACATTTCCATATATCACTCAGTAAAAGTAAAGCAAAACAAAAAACACACTTAAAGCAAAAATCCCCTTATATTTGGATAGTATTTGGGGTTTGCTTTTTGTGAATGTGTAATTTGCTCAAGAGCTTTAACATTATTTGTCTCGTTTTATCTTTCCCGCAGGGACCTATTCCCTCCTACTGGAAGTCTCTGTGTTTACAGTTGGCACGTGCCAACTTCTTTCAACATTTATAGGGCATTTATAGGGCATTTGTAGCTTGTTCAAATGTGGGGAAAACATATTTCTTTTAGCATAATCAGAGACAATAAATGGGGAGAGGAAAAAATAAAGATATATAACATTACGTCTCCCGTGGGGAAAATGAACCAGCCCTCTCTAGTCATTTTAGAATTGGGGGTCAGTAAATAAAGATACCTAGCTGTAGATTCAAAACCATGTAGTTGTTAAGCCATATAGTTGTATCATACTAGATAGAGGGATGAGCAAATATTTGGACAGCTTTACAAGGGAATTACACAGAGGGTGCAGCAGACTAGCACAGACTACTATCGTAATGCCTCTGAATTAGCTCCAGTATTAGAAACAATATGCCACTGAATATGCTAATAAACTGTAGTTGTGTGTGAGTGTGCTACTAAGCACAGTTCCCTCTTGTGGGCTTCCTATGAGAACAGGGTTGGATTCTTGAGATGTAGCAGTGAGATGGGTTTCCCTGTGTAAGGCAGACAGAAATGATGACCTATTTTCTGTTTTACTTTTCACATGCCTCCTTAATGGCATTGCTGATATATTCAGGCTTCTCACTGAACTTCACCTTAAGGCAAGAATGAGCAAATTAAAGTCCAGGGCATCCTATAGTCACTGAGTGCCCTTTAAGTGATCTTCAGAGCCCCTTTTAAGAGTACTGTTTCCTGTCATTTGGAGGTAGGGAACAGATTAAAAGTATGATGTAAGCCTTAAAGTAGGCATATATCAGTTAAAAAGTAAGGAAATTCCCACCCAAATTCTGTATACAATATGAACCTGACTTAGTGTTCCTCTGCCTTTCAGAAATTTTAAATGGGGCTCTGGATCACCAAAAGGTTGCTCCTCCTCCCCATTTAAGGAATATCTTTCTACTGTGCAGGGGTTAAACCACCGGCATTAATTTGAGAAATAACTTTGCATGACTATTATCCGGTGCCCAGTTATGCAACTATTCATCCCATGAGAATGCTTCCACCTCAAAATAGGAACATTGTGTTCCATGTTCCAGCCAGCCAGCATCCCATCTTTCTCACTCAATTTTTCAGCTGCCTTTGCCTTGTGTTGTTGTCCAAAAGAAACTCAAATCACTACTGTGTTATGTGTGTGTGTGTGTGTGTGTGTATCCAGATAGTAGATGGATGGATGGATGGATGGATGGATGGATGGATGGATGGATGGATAAATAGATATGGTAGGTAGGTAGGTAGGTAGGTAGGTAGGTAGGTAGGTAGGTAGGTAGAATTGCCTCGATAGTTTATTTTTATATAGAGGCTTATGTATTTTTGGTGGGGAGGGATATGTAAAAACACTACTTATTTTGCTTCCAAACTGTTAACTTTAAACCTCCTGAGTATCAGTATGTGTAATGAAATATATTTTCATGTAAATGAGGACAGGATGTTGAAAACATACCTTGGCCACAGACCATAATAATCCAATGCAAGTTTTTCCAATTATGTTCAGATAAGGAAATGGGTTCAAATAAGTTCTGGGTTCAAAGAGGGTTTATGGTTCTGATGAGAAAAAAATAGTCAAAGGGTTCAGGTTTCACAGTGGAAGTGTGTATAATTTTACTGGTTTTTGCTTTGTCTATCTTTTCCCAAGGAATTCTACATACAAACAGGATTACTATTACTGCATTGAAAAACAAAACTGTTAATTCAGATTTAGTTCTCAGCACTACAAACAGTTGCAAATGTCTTAATGTGTGTTGCCTGCAGTACTTGAAAATGTTCATAAGCATTCTTTTGTCATACAAGGATTTGTGATCAAAATGTACTACTGTAGTTAGAAAATTAGAACATAGTCCTGTATTATTTGTTTATTTATATATTAAAGCAATTTATAAGGCTGCCCAACACACTCACAGTGACTCCGGGTGGCTTACAGAAATAAGACTTCAGATACAAAACTTACCACACCCCCACCCCTACTGTAACATCAGAACGTTTGCACTTACAAAATATTGTTAGAAATCATGGGATACGTGCATTTGATCAAAGTATTCTTGAAATTAAGTTTGGCAAGTCATAATGTAACCTTTTCTAAAAGTTATACTTTAACTGAGTACTGCAGGTCCAAAGTTTGTAGGCAAAAAGATCTTAGGAGAAGATCTTTTCTCTGGCATGGACTTTGCACTTCATTTCATCAGAACTTAAGTTCTGTTAGTTGCAAAGGTAGACTTGGACATTTTTGAGAGGGAAAGGCTCCATTCTGGCCAAATGCTTTCTATCCTAAGAGCTGCTTTCAGACACAGATTGCTCCCTGAAGTTCTTGACATCCTAGCCAAAATAGTTAGGTTGTGAAACTGGAGGTTATTTTGGCAAGTTTTCATATCCCAGCAGAATCAACTAGGAACAGTTTTCAAAACAGCCTTGAGAAGTGGCTACCATGCAAGGGACATGTCCAATTTGTCAAAACAAAAGTATTTTATTTCAATGCTTCTCCTATCCATAATGTTCAGTCTGCAAAAACTGGGCTTTCTGAGAGTTCTAAGTAGATACTTGATAAATTCATTTAACAAGCAGTATGAATGCAAAAGTCTTATAGAAAGTCCAATTGCTTGTGATTCTATGACAGATAGTTTCTGACAGTTGCATTAACTGGAGAAACACCACCAGCTTTTTATGAACAAATGGGGTTTGATAATAATTATTCTGTTGTGCAGAGTACAGCAATGCTCCCATAAAAACTTTGCCCAGGGAAAAAGTACACATCAGCATGAGAGGTTTGCAAACTGCAATGTCCAT